GATGTTAGGTTTTCAACATATGAAAGTGGTGAAATATAATCCCTTAGCAAAAGAAATGAATAGTTAAACATTCAATTTAAATATTTGCACAAAAATTAATTGCTTTATTATTAATCCTATAATTTAGCTTACACAAGCTGGAGGTCAATGCTATTTGCAGTCCTTGAGACTCTGATGTAAAATATTTTGGCATCAAGCACAATTTTTGTCTTTGTGTGCACACATGTCAGAATTAGAAATACATCTGGTCTCTTTCCGAACACTATTTTTGTGAATGTCATCCAAGCCACGTTTCTCCCACAGTTCTGAGGAGAAGACAATAGCATCCCCCTATCAAGTAGTACTGAATTTCATTTCACCAGGCAGGTGCTGCAGAGCATTGGCTTGTTTATTTCAGAATAGTGATGACACTGGAAAAAGCATTTTCTGGGTTCCTCCTAGGTGTTGTGTGTTTTTATCAAGGCATGGGTGTTTGGGCCTGTAATATTTAAACTGAAGACTTACTAAAATATTAACAACTCCCTAAGGCATACTATGTAGTTAAAAAAAATCAAAATGCAGAGTAGCATGTATACTATTTGTGCAATGTAATTTGTATAAAACAGAGGTGAAAAACATGAAATAACTATTGAACATAAGAATTTGATCATCTTCAAGGCAGAGAAACTTGAAAGCTGAAAACACAGGATGGTGAGATTGTCACTGTTTATCTTTAAGCAAGTTTTGAAATATGAGCCAAATGAGTGCATGAACTCTAAAAATGGGCATTTCCCTCAGAACCTCTATCTCTATAATTCATATCCTTTTGCACTGACTTTTAAAACATTGCTGCTGCTATAAAGACACACAGTTAGTTGCTGTATGCCTTAAGATCCAGAAACCATGTGTCATTGCCTCTTAAGAATCCAAAACTTACTTATTAATACAACATGATTGCTCTGAGACTGGCTTCCTTGATTACTTGCTGGAGATTTCCCATCATTCCAGTGCTCTTACCTGTAAGGACAACATGCAGCAGTCTTGTCTCTTTCATGTCATTTATACCTCCATCTAGTATTACTCTAACTCAGTGATTGTCAACCCGACACGCACAGTATAATGATGCTTTCAGGATGGTTTGGAAAAATATTAATGACTAGTGCCCTTCCCAAAGATTCTGTCTGATTCAATTGGCCTCAAGTTGGGCCTGGGTATTGACATTCCCTCAGAGATTCTACTCTGCTGGACAGGCACTACTTGAGGCAAAGATATTTTTCAGTACTCAGCCGGCTACCTGTAGTGGATGAGTATAGAATTTTGTACTAGGCATTATTGATTTTCTCTGTCATAAATAAATGACAAACAAATATGTACTAACAAAAAAATGCAGATAATTAACATCTGATTATACCACATCATATTCAAAGGAAATAACTGGGGAGAAGTTCCTCACTGTCTCAAACTCATTATGTCTCATTCTGAAAACTAGACTCCGAACAGATAGATGGATAGATAGATAAGACAGATAGATAGGACAGATAGACCTTTGTAGGCCATAGTACAACTGCTCTTTCTCTATGGATAGAAGGGTTAGCCTGTTGTAGCAGTTCTTTAGGTGTTGACAGAGACCTTTAAAGGCCTATGGTTTATCTTAATCTCAGATAAGGAGTCTTAACTTGTATTTCTGGGATGTTCATGAATATTTTTAAATACATAGTTTCATTTATCTGGGGAAAAGAATCAATAGCTTTTATCAGATTCTGAAAAAAACACTACAAAACAGTTTCATGGCATATGAAAGTCTCTCAAAGCAGAGATTTTTCTATTTAGCTCTGAAAAACAACTTGTGAAGTGAGAATGTACACGGCAATATGGAGACGGTAAGGTCTGTTCATTTTATTCCCTGCAGGAGGGAGAAGTCTCCTTAGGACCATACTTTAAACCAGTTTTATCAAAAGACCACAAAAATTCTCCAAAAATTAGTAACTAATCTCAGGTCCCTAAGCAACTTGCTTTCTTCCCTCCCCTATTTTTTTTAATCATATGAAATTCCTAACATTTTAAGTCAAAATTGGACGAACATAGCAGTTTCACATTGCTCAAATAAATAATTTCTCTCCTCTTACAATAATTATTCTTCACTCTCATCCCTTATAGTAGATCCCACAGAGCTATAACTCCTCAGGTTTTGCTCCTTTCCTTCCTTTAGTTAAGGACATACTCTGGCTTCCTGGCCTGACAAGGTATGATTTCTCAATGGCCAAAAACCCAAGATAGATAGATAGATACTTAGATACATAGATACATAGATCAGTCTCATCTTATTCAGTTTTACTGTTCTGTGAATTCAGTTAACCATGGTCAAACATATAAAATAAATATTAAATAGAAATTTTTAGAAATAAACAATTCAAAGTTTTAAGTTGAATAGAATGATGAAATCTCATGCGATTCTGCTGTGCATACCTGGTACATAAACCATTCCTTTATCCAGTCTATTCCTAGTGTATACACTACCCATTTGTCAGTCACTTAGAAGCCATCTGTTATCATAGATTTAAGGTTCAGTATCACAGTTCATCTTCAAGTAAAGTAAGGTCAACAATAGCCTAATGTGATGCCACAATGCCTGCATTTATCACCTCAGCTCATGTCATCACATGGGCACTGTATCATCCCACTTCCTCACAAGAATAAAGGTGAGAAGTACAGTAAGTTATTTTGAGAAAGACTACATTCATGTAACATTGATTACAGTATGCTGTTAGCATTGTTTTTTCTGATTTGGGGCACTTATAAGTTCTTACTGTATTTAAGTTATAAATTAAAATTTATCATAGTTTTGTACATATAGGAGAAACCATAGTATGTTTGAAGATATGTGAATGCTGTAATCTGAACGTGTTCCTCAAAATTCAACTATTGGAAATTTAATTTCTAATGCACAAGTGAATAGATTAATGCTTCTATGAAAAGATCTTGCAGAACCGGAGATAGTGGTGCATACCTGTAATGTCAGCTTTCTGGGAAGATGAGGCAGGAGGAACAAGAGTTCAAGCCCCTCTTGAGAAACTTAGCAAATTAGACAGACACAGTCTCAAAAATATAGTAAATAATAAAGAGATGGGGATGTAGCTCATTGTGACAGTCCTGGGTACAATGCAGTCCCCAAGACCATGGCCACCAAAAAAGAAGAAGGCTTGTGGGGATGGATTTAGTCTCTTTCCCTTCTGCTCCTTAACTGTAGGGAGACAATTTTGCACCTTCTTGGAGGATACAGAAAAAAGATACCATTTGGAACCAGAGAACAAACTCACCAGGTTCTTGACCTTATACATTAGACTTCAGAACTGTGAGAAATAAACTTCTGTTTTTACTAAATTACCCAGTCTGTGATATTCTCTTGCAGCAGCACAAAAAGGACTAAGATGGTATGTATTCATGTCCTTACCTAGATCAATCTCTTTTGATTTGGTCCTCTATCTTTTCCAAGGTCTAAGAGTTTACTATACTGGGCCTTGTGGTTAGACTACTCCACCTCACAGTGAATAAGCCATCGCTTCTCTCTAGTGATAGGACTGTCTGCCCCATGAAAAAAGCAGGTTACCTCTGGAAGTGTTAGTATCAAGTAAACGAAGCAGAGCACTGCAACTGGTAATTCTGCAGCCCCAGTGCTGAGCTAATTAAGGACTCTGACATATGTAACATTCTCAGAAGACATAGAGAGTATTTGTCTCTGCTATAGCTGGTAGCTCATAGCTTCTAAAAGAACTGTTTTCACCTCTGAATTATTTCATGCTGATGCACAATCATTCTGCTGTCCTGAGCTCAAGGAAGAGAAACTTGAGATTTGTCCTTATTTATAGTGATATATAGCAAGTCTTTAAGAGAAGAAATTAAATGACTTCTTACTTAATCATATTAACTGACTTCTGCTCAGGAAAAAGAGAGTGGCTATTCCATAGTTGAGTTTATACAAAGACTGATTCCTCTATGCTATCAACACTTTGCTCAAGACAACCTTCAAATATGGTCACATTTCCTCATGTAAAAAAAAAACCTCCTATGAAATTTCTTACATACAAGTGACTGATGGCACCCTATTCACCAAAGGCCTCTTCAGTTGCTGTTAGATTGCTCTCTAGTGCTTGTCACTATTGATCTTGCATCTTCTAAAAAAGCTCCTCTCTATGGTTATTCAATATGCTTTGCTTTTCTGATTCCTTATTGTCTCCCCAATTTCTCATCCTCAATTTTCATAATTTCTCTCTCTCAAAGCTCCCCGTGTTAATGCTTTTAATTTTCAATTATTTGAGAATCTTGATCACCTTAGGGATTTAAATTATTAAATTGTCTAATTCTGAAAGCTTTTCTCAGATTTAAACCCAACTTTCCAATATCATACATATGTTCTGGCAGCACCTTGAGACTCAGCATTACCAAAACCAAAACCCCTGAGTCCTTCTCTACTTTGTCCCTCGTACTGCATGTCTGCAGTTGATCACTGCCATTATACTGGTTGTCCTACCTGAAGACATCAGAGCTACTTTCAAATCTCTTGTCACCTCTTTTACAATACCCACCTGACAACCTTGAATCTCTCAAATGTTCAGAACACTGACATCCATGCTACACTGCACAACAGCTTCCTAATTGTTCTTCTCCAGGTTATGTCAGGGGAGCTCTGCCTTTGAAGCCAAAGAACCTCCTTTCAAATCCCAACTTCATCAGCCTCTTGCAATTGATAGTTATTTAACATCTCCTTGGTCTTTACTTTCTAGAGCTATAAATAGGGAATTCAAAATATCTAACATAGAGGTTTGTAATTAGCATTAAAAGCATGTAAATAAAATGCTTAAAAGAGTCCTGATTACTCAAAACTCAATGAATAATAGCTCTTACTATAGTTTTACTTTACTTGCTCATCCATAATTTTTTCCCTGTCTACTACACTTCCCTAAAAGTTAGTGGACAGATTTTGAGCCAGAGTACAAGAATTAAATGTAAAGTGTTTTTTATAGGCAATGGCCCACTGAAGTTTACAAGGACTATTTTACACTTTCTGGACATCTTAAGAAATTTCTAAGGTAAGTAGGGTTTACTTTGTTCATTTTCCGTTCTTCAGAGGAATTTTAATTCCTTGACTATGTTTTAGGACAGCTCCTTCAGCGCAAGGCTCACTTTTGATACTTATTATCATTCCTCTCTGCCTCTAGAATAACGTTGAGCTCACAATAAGCTCCAATAAATACTGTTGATGGAGATATGACAACAGCCACACTTGCTTGCTCCAACATAAAACACAGGACCACAGGAAAAATAAACTCAAAAATAGATATTTTTGAACCACTAGCCAAGTGAGAAATCTAAAGGATGCTGGTATGAGCTTCATAATCTTCTCCATTTGAAAAGATCTAATTATTTAGCCTTCATCACAGTAATAACTGAGTCACCATTTTCTCATTCCACACATGTAGCAGTGTAGATTGCTGTTATATGAGATTTTTAAATGAAAAGGGAAAAAAAGTAATTTCCATTGCATGAGGGGAAAAGGTCTATGATGTTACCTATTGATTGTCATAGTTAGCAATGTCATAGCTACTAGGCTTAAAAGAAAGCAACATATCCTGTCCTTGAAAAGGAAGTAAAACTAACAAACTGGGGAAAATTAACATAGGTGAAAATCCAAAATTCTTACAAACAGAAGATAACTACATACGTGCAAGAACCAATTGCATTGTTGAAATAAAGACCTGAGTGGAGGGGTTAAGAATTCAAAAGGTCCACTAGTAGAAAATACAAGCACAAGATAACTTTTTGAAGGTTAAAAGAACTAGTACAGCAATACATATAGAACATGTGAATTAAGGGTACTTTAATAATTATTTGACAAGAGTATCAAATGCAACAATAATTTGGATGCAGTTATCATCTTCAATATTTTCAAACATGAGACAGTCAAACTTGGAAATGGCTTAAATTTTATACATAACATATATTTTATATATAACATATATTAAGCTTTATATATAATATGTACATTAAATACATATATAATGCCTATGAACTCAGCATGTATAGGAAGTAACAATTCCTCATATCTTAGACTTCAATAAAATAATAGCATATACTATTAGAGGAATAGATAAAAAATATTTCTTTGAAGTTTATAACTCATGTCACCTGCATTATTCCATTTGGTTTCTATATAATTATAGGAGAGTACAGAGCTCTTTATCATGCTGATCATTCCTTAAAGAAAGAAAAGATGGTTTTATCTATATTCTCCATTCCTTCTATGATTTCAGGAAAGGAGCACTCAATAAAAATGACAAAGCTGAGTATTCTTTAGTATTCCAAGATACACATGCAGGTTAAAATTAATAATACTACCCATCAAAAACAGAAGTGAAAGATTATAAATGTTTGGATAATGGTGAACTATGAAATGTACTGTATTATTCACAGATGAAAAGCTTCAAGGCCATACTTATTTCACTCACAACTATACTCTAAAAGGACAGATCCTTGAGGGGAGATGTGACTGGGGTATTTTCCACATCTGCTCTTTATTCTTAAAGACTGTACCAGTAGCCCCAATGTATCCCTGTGTGCTGATTCCTTTGTCTGTACTTGGAAGACAATTAATAGATTCCAGAGGGAGCAGCTTCCAGTGCTCTCATGCAGAGTTGTGAGGACAAATCAACTCTGAAAGAAGAAATGTGGAGTATCTAAAAACCAAAGTATTTTAGTGGCTGGAATATAGAATGAATGTTGATTTTTAAATTTTAGAATTCTATTATTCTGAGAAAAAAATAAGCTTATATTTTTAAATAATGACAGTACCTTATACTATCAAGAATTGACTATATTATTAAATCATGGAAACTATTGTAAGGGCTTTTCATAATTGAATACCATTAAAAAGTATTATTACTAATTCTCCTAAGTGAGAAAATGGAGGCAAAGCAGCTAAGTAGCTTGTCTCCAGCCAAATAATTTATATGTAAATGTATCAGAAATCTCACCATGGCAGTCTTAACTACTATGAAATTTTTTCTCAGCAGAAAATTCGAGGGATCAGCAACATTGACTATGAAAAGAAACAAACTAGAATTCTCTTCAGAGGTAAAAATTAGAACAAGTTACTAAATAATATATTTATTCTGAGGGGGAAAAAAACTACTAACGAGAGTCACAGAACTGAAAGTATAAAGAGCATGTGTCACCATTCTCATGATAGGATTCCTAAAGAATTTGAAGTTATTTGCCAATGATCATATTAGGTAGGAAAAGGTAGAGCAAGATAAATAATTCAAATATTAATATTTCAAGTTCAGTGGCCATGTTCATATACCACAATTTGGAATCTTAAATCCTCTTTTTTTCTCTAACCAAATTGTTGTCAAGAAGACAAAATACAGTATATACTTTCAAAGTTAATTGTTGAATTATTAACAACTGGCCTTCCCTGGTTAATCCAGTGAGAATATCAAAGAATTTATTGAAATGGCTTATTGCTATCAAACATATAGTTTGGAAATGCAAAGAAGTGTAAAATATGAGCATGCTTGTATTTTTTGAGAACTCTGAATAAGACTTATTACATAACAATGACAATTACTATAGCAATACCAAGTATACTAACTAGTTTATGGCTTAATTCTAAGTTAGATTTAGAGGAAATAGTAACTGTGAGTATTTCCTTCTGAATTTAGGTAATAACTTCCCCAATGATAAGTAATCTGATTTCTTACTTAACCACACCACTGTTATTGCAGAAGTCTGAGTTGCAATGTATTATGAAATTGAAATGTATGTACAAGACACATTTACACGCTGGTACACAACAAAGAGAAAGAGAAAGGCAGGGTCCAGAGGATCTGCTTCCCCGTGAGAAGTAATTTCAGGTTTGATTTCTGCAGAGAACAGGCTGGAAAGGAAGGTAAATACTAAATAGAAGACAGAGGCCAGGAAGGAAGTCTGTGTTTCATCACCATTTGCCAGATCCATACTCACGCTTACCATACAAGGTTACTACATTTGTTTACACATTAAAAGTCCGATGTTAAAAGGCTCCTGTTTTAAAGACTTTGTTGCTAGTTGATGGCACTACTGGGAGCTGGAAGAACATTTATAAGGTGAGACCAGGGGAAGAAGTTAGGTCATTGAGATGCCCTTGAAGGGGTTATCAGGGACCCGATCCCTAGGTCTCTTTGCTTCCAGCCACCTCCTCAGCTATACCCTCCCACTATCACACACAGCCTTGTCCCAGGCCCAAAGCATCAGGGCCAACCAACTATAGCTGGAAAATTCTGAAACTGTGAAACATTTCCTCATCTCAGGAATTCATCTCAGGAATTTTGTCACTGTAACAGAAAGCTGACAGATCCAAATTGCTTGTGTTTCTTCCCTCCCCTTTGGCAAAATGGTACCAAACTTCTCTTCTTGTCCATATGATATTGGAGTTAGGTCTGTTTGAATCACTGCTCCTTTAATGAAGTAAATATATAAAGATATGTGGTTTTCTTCCTCCTAAAAATAATGGTGAGTTATTCAGAATTTGTTTTCAAATTTTAAATAGTTAAGCTTGGCTACCACAAGTAAGTATTTTAAGTATGCCCAGATCAATTAATAAAAGTAAATCTTTGTAAAAAATAGAGCCTGTCCTATTTAAGTGGTTGATGAAGTCCTCTGATAATAAAGAAAATTAAAATTATACTTTTTCCTCCGGGGTGGGTAAAATGTTCACATACAAATCAAATTCTTTTTGCTGCTGTGTTATTTCAGGCATTTATTTAACAAATATTATTGGGAATGGAATGTGATTCCTTCTCTAGTAGAATTTAGAGCACATAAAAGCAAGCAAAGACATCAAAGGAGTTATCTTTTGTAAAAAAAAAAAAAAAGGGAAAAAAATAATGGAAGGGATGAGAATAATTAAGATGTGTTATGTCCATGTACCAACTCCCCACTATGTGTGTAATCATTATGTGCAGCAAACATGCAATAATAAAAAATGTGAATAATAAAAAATATGCAACTGCAATACAGCCACCAAAATGCAAGGTGCTAAGAGACTATGAAAAAAGATTTGACCTAATCAGAGAAGTTCAAGGAGGGCTTCCCTGTGGAAATGACACGTGAGCTAAGATCTAAAGAAAAAGAGGCATATATTTCTGGGAAAGAGAAGAAATAAACAAAATCTCTGGCAGAAATGAGCAGAAGAATATGTTGTGCCTTGGAAAGGAACAAAATGATTAAGAGGGGCAGAATGTCAACACTCTCAAATGTTGAAGAGACCTTGATTAGGATGAGGACTAAAAATGCCCATTGGATTTGGAAAACAGCAGATTAATGGAGATATTAGAAGGCATTGTTATTAAAAAATTATCCCATAAATGTTAAATGGAAATGATTGTAAATTCCAGTTCAGAAAATAACTGTTGAGCCCAGACAAACCCACAAAGATGAACAAAGAACACTGTTGCTGCAAAGGGATAAGGGCATCAAGGATTCTTGTTTGTTTTAATGAGCTAAATATGGCTGTGCCTAAGAACATGGATAATAAAGCAAAGCAGAAACCTAGGATTTCTAACATGTTTTCACTCTACTGATACAGAGCTACACATTTTCTATACCAAAAAAATATCTTATTTAACTATCCACTCTATTCTTTCATGTTGAAATGCAGCTTATTTCAAGCAGCTAGCATCTAAAAGTTAAATAAATATCCAACCTAGCTTTAATACATTTTGAGTATTTTTCTGCTGATATAACTATAGCTTTCTATTAAATTCCAGAATGTAAAAAATTATCTTTGTTGAAGAAAAAGGATTCATCATGCATTCATAAAATAAGATGAGCTGTTTGTACTCAATGAAAAATATTTTTAATGAACTGGTTATTGTACTCTATATGATTGGGCTCATAATGAACGGTAAATCTCATAATACTTCAGAACATCAACTGTTGTTAAGTCAGGTTTCATCATTAAGGAAAAAGATTGTCCCAGACACCAATTCATTATCTAATTTATATTACAGCTTTGAAATTCTATAATTCATTAAGCCTGAACATAAAATTCTGATTACTCTGATCTGTACATACATTTTTCTTTACAAAAGGTAACACTATGAATGATCTATTAAAATATGTTGTTTACTAGTAAATGAATGGATTTTTATTACTTTAACATAAGAGTTTCAGTTCCTAAGTAAAATAGTAATAAATTAATAATAACATTAAACTAAAATAACACTAACTACATTTGGCTTTTTGCTTCCATCCTTGGGTTCCACCATTGATTCATTTGTAGATCAAAAATATTGAAAAAAATTTTACTGAGTATATACAGACTTTTTTTCTTGTCATTATTCCCAAAATTACTTTCTTGTCATTATTCCCTAAACAATACAGAGTAAGAACTAGTAACATAGCATTTACATTTT